AACAAGTGACTGATATTTCAATCAGATATGAATATCATTTCATGGTAATTGGTGGTTCCACTAGTTTTATAACATGCACTTAAGAAAACTGATGCCACATGTCACGCTTTGAATAACATTTAAAAGAGTGAGTGAAAATCAATAGTAGTGGCAGTGAAGACTTTGTTCATATTATATGAGTCCATGGTTTTACATTCACGAGAGATCTACAAAAAAAAAAAAAAAAACAAGAAGAAAGAAAATTAGAATACAAAAGTTATTTGAATATTTTTATCTAGACTCGGCAATAAATTATTGGGTAATTAGCTCAACTTATCTTTATATTGTAGACTTAATCTCTAGTATGTCCCCGCAAATTTAATTACTCTTAATTTATTCTTATATTTTAAATCTTTCTTTATTATATTTTTCTAGTAGATATTTTCTTTAAAAAATAATAGAAATACCGAGACACTCAAACTCACCACCTGGTTTATTACAAAAATAAATTTACAAATGAAATTGAATTATCATGTAGTGTAAAAATTCATTTGTTCATAGTTATTTATGTTAATAAATTATGTTAAGTTTGAGTTCATAACAAAGAATATATTAAAAATTACATATAAAATATAAGGAAAAATTTAACTTATTCTCCTAGTTTTTTTTTATTTTTTTCTCTAATATATCTATTTTTATTCCATGATTAATTAATTAATAATTAGTGTTGAAGTGATATATATAGAATGTATCGATGGGACCCTCTTAATTTATATACTCTCACAAGTTTAATCTTAAAAATTGAATGTTGTGCGTTTAGACATGCAGTGAGATGGCGATACCTATTGGTGTTGGGAATAATTCCATGTTCCCACCAGATCCTTTTGATTTGGAAGACTATATAGAGCATTGCAAGAGTATGTATGGTGTCCCAACTCGTCCTCATTGGGTCACTACCTATTACGGAGGTCATGTATGTTCTCTTTAATTAATTTCTCCTTTTAATTAACTCCTTAATCTTCTATTAACACCTTTTTTTTTTTAATTTTTTCTTTCATTGTATATTTATTTATTTTCTTGATCTTGACCTCGATCGGGGAGGTCATATATATCACCACAAAAATTTAATCTTTATTACTTTTTACTATGTAGAGTATAAAATTGATTCTTCAAAGGTTTGCTAGCAATATCATCTTCTCCAACGGGCTAAGAGATCCTTATAGTAGTGGAGGGTAAGTAACAAACAACATTGAAAAAGACAATGATTTTGTGACTTCTGATTGTCACATTCGCAGGTATAAAATATAGACCTAACCAGATTTAACATGTCCGATCATCTGTATTTCTAGGGTTTTGGAGAACATTTCAGACACTGTTGTAGCTGTCAAAACCGCCAATGGTAAGCACGCCCTTCCATTCAATCATCCTCACTTGAAACAAGAAAGTAGGATCAAAATTTGGCTGGGAAGCTCCATCAATGCCATAACCAAAGTGAAAACAGTGAAATTTGTACAAGGGGATTTTGAGGAAGTTCATGCTAATTAACAGTACAATATTCACTACATTAATTTCAGGGTCTCATTGCTTGGATATTCTTTTTGCGGAGGAAACTGATCCAGAATGGTTGGTCACACAGCGAAAGATAGAGATCAAGATTATTAAAGAATGGATTAATAAGTACTATGCTGATCTAACCATGTTTTAGATTCATATATGCAAACAAAAAGTTGTTACCAATAGAGGAAAAAAAGGCAGTGGAAATTGAAAATATAGGATTTTCTTAATTTTCCCAGCTTAGATTTATTTGGTCATAATTCTTAGCCATCTGCAATAAGCGTGGTAGGAAATCTGTGTGATCAAATTCCCCTGCATGTCATTCCTATAGGAAGTTGGTATTTATTTAAAGGGAAACTATATGGAAGTTATTAGTTGCTCATATCCTTGTGATTCACTTATTTTGCTATGAAACTACCTTCAAATATATATATATATATATATACAACCCTTCATATCTTCAAGGATTAATGTATAAATTAAGTACTAGAGAAACCAGATATTATTGTTTACCTTTGAGATAAAAAGGATTACGTTAGCACTGCTTAGTTACGGTTAAAGATAAAAGGGGAAAAAAATTATAAAAGTAGAAATGTGTTTGTTTAAGGAGTCAAATATTAAAATATAAAAATAAATTTATTTTTAAAATAATTTTAAAATAAATTTTTATATTTTCAAAATAAAAAGTACAAATGAAACATGTTTTTATAGATAATATTTTTTATTTTTAAAATATAGTTGTAAAAAAACCCTCAATTTAAAAATTATTTAACTAAGATATATAAAAATAAAAATAATTATTATCCTAGTTGAAAAACTCGAGTCAAGGGTTGATTTAGGATAAGGCTTTGGTCACGGGTCGGGAAGGTCAGCCTGAGTTGACCCGAGTCAACATATGAATAAGAATAATTATTATTATAGTTTTAAAACTCAACTTGAGAGTCGATTCGAGACAAGGCTCAGGTCACGCGTCGGGTTGATCGTTGACCTGAGTTAATGTAAAGATAAAAATTATTATTATTATAATTTTAAAATCCGGCTTGAGGGTTGAGTTGGGGTAAAACCTAGGTCATGAGTTGGGATGGTCAACATAATAATAAAAGTTGTTATTATCATAGTTTTAAAACCTAACTCGAGGGTCGACCTAGGGTAAGGCGCAGGAGAGTCAATGATTAATACTTAAAAGTGTATTTTTATCAAGGTTTTATATCATCATTTTGCACTTGAAGTATCAATAACTCCTTAACTAAAGTATGTTTTATAATAATATATCTAATAATATAAGATACCTTTAATTTATGGTAAATGTTCATCTTAAATGCAGTCTATTACATAAATAAAAGGATTGATTAATGAGTTTAAGTACTAAAGTTGAAAGGACAAAGAGATGACCAAATTTAGAAAAGAGATGCTGGTGCAGTCCA